GTTTTTTTTTTTTTTTTGCCTACAAATATCCTTACTAGGCCCAGCATTGAGCCAGTTATTCTTTTGGGCCAGTCACAGTAAAAACCAAAAAGTAAACAATGATAATTATTAAAGAAAAAGAAAAAAAACCAAAAAGTAAATACTTAGTGATAAATCGTGTTACCTATAAGTTAGGAACATAAATTGGAAGACTACCTATAAGTTAGATACAAAAGTAGACAAAATAAAATTGTATGTTACCTATAAAAAAAATGTACATAAAATAATATTACACAATAGGCAATATGACTTAAATGACTATTACATCATAAAATATTTGAAAAAAAAAAAAAAGGGAATGTAATTTTATGTGGCACAAAAGTAAACGAACTTGGATCAAAGTCACCAAATTCAAGGATTAAACGCAATTCCACAATAGAAATTTGGATCTATATCAACTTTCCTAAAAAAATGACTTCTTAGATTTAGGTCCAAAATTATTTAGGTGGGTATATATTTGAGTTAGGCTTATTGTATATGTTTTAGTTGGGTAATGTTGGGGAATTTGTATATGCGGCGGATTATTTTGTTCACCCTTCAAGAGGATGTTTTTGCTGTGCCACCAAGAAGTAAAGACATAGGTGAGTCATAGTCTACATAAGTGCAATGTGAGCCAATGAGTCTTTGATGCTTAAGTCAGTTTTGATAATAGAATCAATGGGAAAAAGTAAGGTTTCTTGGTTGAAGGAACAGGAACCTCCTACTGATGGCAGTAATTTGCTATATATATGACTCGTTGATGGCTAGTTTATCGCTGCGAGAGACTACATGCAGAATGTTGATTGGGGATCCAGAGTTCCGTTGATATGTATGTCAATTCAATTAGTCGTTTGACTATAGGGATGTGTGAGATATTTACCGAGTGAGCATAATCTCCTAAATTACTACTGTTTCATTGAATAAGGAGATTTTGGTGATCAATGTTGATCCATTTAGAGGCATGGGGCCCAAAGATAAGTCTTAGTGGACTTACCCTGTAAAGCCCAAACATGCCTTGACCTAGGCTTGTTTGGTACTTAAGCACGGGTTAGGCTTGTGGTCTAAGCTTGGGCCATTACCTTGCAAGGCTTGAAACAACAAAAAGGCCATGTTGGGCTTGTCCAAGGTGCTCGTGTATTCTTGTGGAGCCCATGCTTCTCTTTATGCAGAGGAATCTACCTCTGTCATCCTACATTTATATCATTATGTGATCCTGGAAATCCAAAGAAAGCATGCCATATCCATAGATCTTTTGAAGCCACAACTTCGAGAGTCAACTAAGGCTCGCGATGGTCTCCATGAGCATACATCCCTTTCCATGCAACATACAATTTTTCCATTTCCAATGCATGCAATCGATGCTACCAAGCGTTCTTGGAAACCCACAAGTCTCACCTTCTGAGTCTCACCTTCTGCTAATAACCTAGAAATATCATCATTGTTTGGCCTTCTCAAGTAATTCTCACCAAAAATGTCGATAACCGCTTGAACAAACCTTTTCATTTATTCAATTGAAGTAGTTTCACCGATCCGCACATAATCATCGACAACATCAGCTGCAACTCCGTAAGCAATCATTCTCATCACAACAGTGACCTTTTGTAAAGGTGATAAACCAAGATGATCAGCTCGATCCCTTTTTTGGGCAAAGTATGAGTCATAATCTTCTATCGCATTTAGGATTTGAAGAAAAAGTGGCTGGCGCATTCAGAACCTTCTTCAAAATTGAGTTGGAGAGTACTTAAGATTCTCAACAAAATAATCATCATAGAGTCTTTGGTGCCTTTGTAGTCGTCCACTGTCGATATATGCATGACATTGGATGGCACCACAATGTTTACTCGTTTCTCCTTCCATATTTTCTTGTTCCTTTTGCAAGGGAACCATTTCCAACATTTCTAGTTCTTCACTAGATTCTGAATCAACAAGATTCCAAAAGTGCTCATCTGTCGAATCAGAAGATGAATCGGAAAAATGATGAGACATGTTGGGGTTCTTCACAATTCACTGTAAAAGAAAAGAATTTTTTTGGGTATAAAAGAAGAATTGTGTTTGAGCACAAGTTCTTTATATATATACATATAGCTTTTTGAAGAAAATGAAAGAGGTGATAAACAAATACATGTATGATAGGAAGAACTGGTCGTGTGTTTAAAAACAATTGTTCAACGGTAGGAAATAAACTGGAAAGAGAAAGAATGAAATAAAATAAAAAAGAAAAATAATAAATGAAAGTAGAAGCCAGCTGTTTAAAAAAATAATAAAATATTTATTTGACATCTTGCTTTTGAGATGTCAAAAATAACAGCTGAACCTCCAGCCTTCATTCCACATCAGCTTTGACAGTTCGGTTGGAGTGATGTGATATGTTATTTATAGCCGTTACATATCTATGTGGCACTTTTGACATATCGGTCGGAGATGCTCTAAGGTTTACAAAGTGTACTACTGTTTCCATTTGCATCATCCACGTCTAGGGTTGGCTCCCTAATTTTATTTTTCAGTCACTCCAAAACCCGGTATTGTACTTTCCTTACGAAGTATTCTTCCCCATAGATATGTAGGAATTTTCCCCATATTTTTCAGATTTTTCCTGTAATTTTGATGAATTTTGCAAAAAAGAAAGAATAAAGTATTCAGGAAATGCCAAGTGTCATCGCTGGAGTGTGGAGTTGCAAACTTCCGCGACACACGGCGCATTCTCATGCTGCCACACTCCATCTAACCCTTTTTTTAAAAATTCCTTTTCACTTAAATATTCATTTAAAAATCGACTTTAAGGGTTTAGGGGTTGGGCGCCTGGGGTTTAGAGTGTGCGGTTTACTGTGGAGGGTTTAGGGTAAAAAAAAATATAAAAAAATTCCCCATAGTAATGCTCTTCTTTCCTGCTCATGGATTAGGGTTAAAAATTAAAAAATTCCTGGAAATGGGCAGACCGTATTGGAAGTGCTTCACAACATATATAAGTATTATCTTCCCAAAACTCGTATGTAAAATGTAATAAGCTGTATCAACAATAATCGAGATCGGGCATTAACATGTAAAACACTAACCCATATTAGGAATTAACACTAACTTAGATCGGGCATTGCCTAAGACAACGAAAAGTGCTCCATACTAAAAGAATATGCTCTTACATTGTAATCCATAACTGAAAAATGTAATTTTTTATGTTTTTTTTAGGGAGTTACAAGGTGTAGTGGGTGATTGCAACCAACAGGCCAATTGAATCTCACATTTAAAACCAGCTGGATGTCAAGGAACTTAATGCATATGCTGAAGTAATCCGTATAGTGAAGGGCATTAAAAATATCCCCGTACTATTGTTAGTTCTATCATTTTTGAATTTGGCAGTTAAATTGATGAAAAAGTAAGAAATGTTTTGCCTCTGTGGAAATCTTTTGGCTTTTCAAGTATGTCTTTTAATTTTGTAATCTGGACAGTTATGAGAAAATATAGTACACCCACCCAGTTAAAAACTTTGCAAGTTCATATTGTCTGTAGTACACCCATAGAGCTACCAATATCCCTGCAACAACTGTAAAGCAAGCTTCAACTGAAAGAAGGACATGGGGTCATGGGAAATTTTGCCTAGGTCAACATTTGAGGTTAGAAACTCGCAGTATTTCAGGATGTACATCCCACAGTCGCCCCTGAAACATAGCAAAGAAGTTGTGATTCATTGTACAACAAATTCATTTAACAAGACAATGTGTTTAGGTGGAATATGACTCACCCGCCAACTTGTTGGGGTGCATCCATTACGTGATTAACTGGCCACTTACTTTTATGAATAAGACCATCACTAATATATCCCGCTTCTTCTAACAACCGGAGCAACATTTTCGAAACCAACTGCACTGCACGTTGGATAGCTTGGGTTCTACACAGATGTGTTTTCTAATCATATGCCCTTATCTCACACTCTTTTAAATCGACAACAAGTAAGATCCAGTGCTTTTGCCTTTGTAGGATGAATGACATAAAAATGTGATTCACAGATGATCAAGATTTAGCCAACTTAAGCCCTTCACCCTTGACCATTCCTAGTAGACCCTTGATGTGCTTATTGTCCTCCTTTCCCATAGACGCCTTCATTTGCATGTAATCTAAGCCATCACATTTATGCATTGTGGCACACGAGTTATGCATCATAACAGATTCCCAATTTGCCAAATAACAATGCATAATTATGAAATAATATAGACTTGAAAAGTGGTTTCCAGTATGGTCGAGTCAGAATCCACCCACTTGCCAGAGCTGTTGTGCCGCTTCCGTAGTAAAAGTAAGGCCATGTCAATGTTCTACATTAAATTACTACATAGCATGGGCATTTTGACAAATGTCCTTGGTCAGTAATCAAACAAAGAAGTTACGCGAACATTCCATACATTCTTCTCCACATAAGCGCACATGTGAACTATATTTTTCAATCATTATTATTATCAAATCCATTTCACCAATAACTCAATAAGTAATCATAATAAATAATTTACATTTCAATAAGGACGGGCAAAGGGAACTTACTTTTCGCCACCTCCAGAAAGGAATCAAGAGGAACTGGCCTTAGAGGGTCACCAATTGTGTCCTCCGAAATATTGGGAATCTCCCGACCTTGACATGGAGTTTCCTTTACCACTGCCCTTTGCCTTTTTGTCACAGACCCAAGAGTCTCACTTTTTCCTCGACCCCTCTTTTACTGGATCCCAACTATAACATCTTCACCACAATAACCCTCCACAATGGACATTTCAATCTTTTGGGGAGGATTTGTAAGAAATTTAATAAGGGTGACACACACCACAGCTGGATCATCCCAATTTATATTCGAGGGTGTATATTGCACCTCTTATTTCTCATTTTGTATAGATTACTCTCTGGATTCGGCTACTCCACCATTCTCTATTTTATGACTCTCCTCTCCAGCATACTCAGTCTTCCTCGCGTCTGCATGACTGGTACACTTTTACAAGCATAAAACTCTCTCATCTTGCTCACCCTTCTCACGGTGCAATACTGCAACCTCATTCCTCAACTGTTGCACAATAGAGTTTAACTCATCAAGGTCCTTACATACCTGTGGAGCTACACTAGGTGCATCACATTCAGGAACATTTGATCACCAACTAATATGTTGTCAAAAATATAGAGTTAACAGGTCATTTACTCATGAAACCAACATACTATTGAAATAAATTATTAAATACACACATGTTTGCTTTGAAATATGTAAGCATTCAACTTTCTAAACTCAGACACTTTATATGTGGATTCTCACCAACAAATTTGAAGGACTAATGTAGGTTCCTCAAGCTACTTACAATATCTAAAGGGAGAACTCCTAATTCAGCAATTAATTCATACGCTCAAATCTGCACCAAATAAATTATCAAAGTCAGTACTTAATTACGAACTTAAATTTTAGGTCAAACTACATAAAATCCCCTAACCTATAGGGTCATTTTCAAGTTCCCCCTTCTATTACCTAAACCGTTAGTGAGTCTGTTAAATGTTGGCGTGTCAAAAGTGAGACCCATTTTTCGATGATGTGGACTTCCACGTGGACCAAAAATTAATAAAAAAATATTTTACTGTTTAAATTATTTTAAAATCTCTCTCTCTCTCTCTCTCTCAGAACCCAAAACCATCCCAGCCTGCAATGAACCCAGAAAATAATTTTTCGATGAGAGAGAGATATATATATTTTTCAATAATTTAAACAATAAAATTATTTTTTATTCATTTTAGGTCCACGTGGAAGTCCATGCATTCAAAAAATGGGTCCCACTTTCGACATGTCAGCATTTAACATACTCACTATCAGTTTGGCTAACGAAAGGGGCAATTTGTAGGGTTTCCGAGAGTTTGAGTATGTACTCATAAATGTCTCTAAAATTGGGTATAAACTTGAAAATGACCCTATAGTTTAGGGGGTTTTATGTAGTTTGTCCTAAATTTTACAAACTCTAATTTTGAACTCAATCATACCTGGAAAGCATATCTCAATCCCTTTATATTCCATGCAGGTCTGCTAATTCTTTTACGCTTCTCATCCTCTACGTTTTTCTTCCCTTTTTTCACTGAACTCTGCACCGCCTTTTTTCCATTTTCTCTGTCATTTACCCTTCCCATTATTGTTTTCATCACTCTCTTTCTTCCTATGAGCAAATAACAAAGAATCTTGCAAATACTCAAACGATATAAAGCCCTATGGATATTTGTTGAATTCATCCATTTTATGAACCAAATGTAAGTAGTCCTCGTTTATCTTTTCATTTTGGGGTTTACTCATTATCAAAAACTCCACAAAATACAGCAGTCTCAATTTGAATGAGTCCTTGAATTTTAGGAATGCATTTTCTAAGTCATAGCAAGTAACGTGACTCCTGTTAGTAAAATGCGCATCATAAATAGATTATGAGCATCCCCCACGGAAGTTATGTAAGGCTCTGTTCCACATTTTAGACAACTTATCAAACACAAGTCCTTTACAATGAATTGAACCACACTGGACCCTATTGCATAACTAAGGCCCAGTATGTCCTTCACACCAAGTCCTCCGACTCACCGGAGTGCCAGAGCATGCACAATTTGACCACTAAATGCAATTTTATGGAGGCCCACCAGGTGCCCAAAACAGCTCTGTCTAAAACTTTTCATAAGCGCGGGTCACTGAAATACGCCCTAAAATTACACAGAACTGTACTCGCCAGTCATATATTATTCACCCGCGCAGAATATACCTCAAACCCATATTCCAACAGACACCTTTTGATTAAGAAAGAGAAGTGATACATGCTCACAATATTATGAACACAATAAGATACAGAAGTGACACCTACTCACAATATTATCAACACATTAATATACATAATTAATACATAGAAACACTATTTTCAACACATTAAGATACATAATTCATACATACATACACTATTTTCAAAACATTAAGATACAGAACTGATACACTATTTTCAACACATTGATACACTATTTTCACCTACAAACACTATTTTTAACACATTAAGATACAAGACTAATACACTATGTTCAACACATTAAGATAAATAATTTTCAACTACAAACACTATTTTCAACATGTCAAGATACAGAACTAATACCTACCAACACTATTTTCAACACATTAAGATGCAGAATTGATACCTACTACAAGATGCATTGATCCTTATGCATCCCAAATCATCTCATATTCACAGTTAAGATCTTCAATTTTCTCTTCTACGTTCTACTTCTAATGGTACTTATTATTTATTTTTCAAGCCCCATTAAATCACTAAAATGATGCCTTACACTCACACCACTAGATGGGCAAAGAAGGATTACAATGAGTGTCAAAGCAAAGAGAAAAAGGTTCCAACAAGTAGAATAAGCAAAGTAGCAGCTACAAATCTCGAAGGATCTATGATGCAGATTAACTAGGAAGAAGCAACAGTTGTGAATCTACACTTCAACAAATTACCACAAACAATAGCAAAAAAAAAAAAAAAAAAAAACCCAAATTTTGGAAAGAGGAAAGAATATTTAAACTGCACCAAAACTTTTTTAAAAAGTTACTATGCTTCTACAAATTACTAAAAAGTAGAAAACACAACACATGAAGCAACTGAAGCCAATTTATATTTTTGTAAACACAACTACTACCGAGAAAGAGTACTCTTACCTAGAAAATCAAAACCCTAAAATCCTAAACAAAAATTAAACATTAAGTGAATTCAATATAAAATGCAAACCTTAATATGAAAGAGAGAGAGAATTCGAGAGAAACGTACCAATTCTGACCAAAGAAAATAGGAGAGTGTATTGAGAGAGGAAAATCTTTTTTAGATGAACAAGAGGGAGTCAGATGAAAATGAATTCAAAGGCGGGATTGGAAAAGGTGGGGTAGGACATGTGACCTAAGGGCAAAGTGCAGCGTACCCATTTGTATTGTAAGCTTGCCTTTTCTCTTCAGATATTCAAATGACTTTGGATGGCTGGGAAATAGAAAGACTAGATGAGGGAGGTTCTGTGACAAGAGAAGAGGAAGTGAAAGAGAAAGATTAGACGAGGGAGGTTCCGAGGAAGTGAAAGAGAAAGACTAGACGAGGGAGTTTCTGCGACAATAGAAGAGGAATACACAAATTTATGTCTGGTAAGTGAAATTTTAGGTGTTATGATTAGGGTTTATTCATAAATTAATTAAGAAGAAATGCGCGATTACAAGGAAGAAGAAAATTAATGAAGAACAAAGTCGCATTTTTTTTTCTCAAAAGAGAGGCGCGACTTGACACATGAGCTCAGAAGAAACTGCAGCCTACCCGTTTGTATTGTAAGCTTGCTTTTTCTCCTAAACTATTCAGATGTATTTCAACAGCTAGGATTGATTCTCATATAAAATTCTCACATAGCTGTTGTCACTTAATCCGAGCGGGAGAAGGGAAATGAATGAAAGTTGTGGACGCTTCGTGTACCAAAAAGACCCAATAATACAAACGTAGGATGAGACAGCCAGAACCGGATCCGACGGTTTGAATTAAAATTAAACCCTTTTCATTTCCCTTCACCCACCCACACTTAACTCGACTCAGCATCCTTAATTTTACTCCCCTTTTCAATATCGCCACCCTTATCCCTCTCCCCTCCTCTCTCCCCCCCTCTCCTCTCAAGTCTCTGAAACTCTGTCTCCAATGGCCAATGTCCTCCGAACTTCTCCTTTAGGGGCAACTTTTGCACAACTTCCTTCCACTCTCTCGCCAAACTCCCCAAAACCTTCATATGTTTCGTTTAGACAAAGCCAGAGCGGCAGCATACCTTATCTCACTCTAAGCTCTCTCCGGTTCTCTCACTTGCCGTCCCTCCGGTTCGCCAAGTTCGTTCCTTTGGCTTCCCAAGGTGAAACCGAAACTACTGAGACCGTGGAGGAGGTTCGACAGCCCGAAGAGATCGAGGTATTATTTATTTGTTTTATTCATGTTTCTTTAAGTTTTTAGATTTTTTTTCCTTAAATTCCAGAAACGATTAGAGATGAACCAGAATTTTAGGTTTAGAGTTTGTAAGGTGGTTTGGTTGTTGATTGAGAAATTGATTTTCCAAAAAAAAGTAGAAACCAAGCATAAGATTACTTTATTTTTCTTGGGTAAATTGGTAGGATTATGAAATGTCCCATTAGCATCATGTTCATGAATAAATCAAATCCCTCCTGCCTGCGTTTGAGGTACTTTAATTAACACTTTTTCTAACACCATGTAAAAGCTTGAAACAAACCTCCCTCTCTTTTGAAAAAGAAGGAAGTATCTACACAGAACTTCCATATTACAGTAGAAATCCATATAATTCTTATTGGTAGTGGTCTGGTTTCCATTTTAAGATAGGTTTCAGTTTCAATTTGAAGATAGAATCATTGTTTCCAGTGGTGAAGAAATAGCGCAAGGTGTTTTATGTCTCTCCTGTTAAGAATAAAGCTTTGCAAAACATTAACGTTCCTCTCTTACCTTTGCTTCCACCCTTTAAGAAACTAGGCAGAATGACTTATTTTTCTCTTTCTTTCTAGATGGTGATAACAACAATACTAAGTATTTTGATTTATATGATATTTGAGCTTAGTTACAAATTTACGAGACTTAGAAACTGTAATGAAGATGATGATGAAAAAATGTTTCATTTTTATCAAATTCACTGCACCAAAAGGAGGTTAGCATTATCTTTAAGAATGAGAAAGAGGTTTTTGTAAAATCACTATGTCTAAGCCGCTCTTTTGTGGTCTATTTGTTTCTTTACCATGTTTTTAAAAATTACTCCAATTCTTAAATACAGAGATATTGAAATATTGAGATTGATTTCAGTTTGTTTATGATTGTGAAATATTTTTTATGTACGTAAATTTTTTTCTTATTCAACTTTTTTTGTACAGAGTTCTCTCTTATTTATGTTTTTTTTTTCAGATAATGTTCAGTTGATGGTTCGTTTCTTTTCCTCTTTTAATAATTTTAATTCAATATAGGAACCATGTAATTACAAACTGATTAACTGACCTGGATTGGTGTCACCTTTTTCTTATATAGTTAATCGTCATTGCCTGTTATTTTTAATTCAGTTTCTTTATTGTAGATTTTGCTTAAACTCGTTAGTTCAGAACTGTTTAGCCTTCAGGTCTGTGTGACGGATTAGAAAAAAGAAAGAAGAATTGGCTGATGTTTGCTTAGTTCAATGCGTAACTGATGTAGACTCTTATACTCATAAACTTTGAAGACCCAACGACATTTATTTTCTCTTTCCACTATTGAGTTTTGCATATCTTGTTGGGAATCAGAGCATGTCATCTACATGATATTAGGATTATAATATCTTTATGTTTTATGTTCGAACTCTTTAATTGTTTCAGACCAGGGCAGGGATGGTGAGTCATGTTGCCATAGAGATTCTGGTGTCATTTAAAAGAAATTGTTAACTTGTTAGATTGTTATTTTACATATATGTATAGTTATTGTGTATGTGTGTGTTCTTTTAAAAGAAGAAACATTTGTTCTGAGGTTCCCGGCATCTTACTTATGTTTTCCAATTATATAAATGGAAAATGTTTTGTATAAAAATGATTTCTTTATCCACACTTCAAAAATAACAAAAATTGTTGTTTTTCGGTTCCCTACTTTTCTTACTTTTTCTAATTACTATATAACAGGACTCTTCAGATGGTGCAGTAAGTGTGGAAGATAGTACAAGCGACGATGAAGAAAGTGGTACAAGTAATGATGATGAAGGTGATGCTGAGGAAAAACCTGTTTCAGCCATCATAGCATCACTGCAATTATACAAAGAAGCTTTGGCCAGTAACGATGAATCAAAAGTAGCTGAGATAGAATCTTTCCTCAAATCTATTGAAGATGAGAAAATAAGTCTTGAAAAGAAAGTGGCCTCTTTGTCTGAAGAACTGTCAGCAGAGAAGGTTCGGATTCTGAGGATAAGTGCAGATTTTGAAAATTTCCGTAAAAGGACTGATAGGGAACGTATTTCTCTGGTAACAAATGCTCAGGGGGAAGTTGTGGAGAGTTTGTTGCCCGTAGTAGATAATTTTGAGAGGGCTAAAACCCAGATTAAGGTGGAGACAGAAGGAGAGGAGAAGATCAACAATAGCTATCAGAGCATTTATAAACAGTTCGGAGAAATCTTAAGCTCTCTCGGTGTTGTCCCTGTTGAGACAGTGGGGAAGCCCTTTGATCCGTTGGTAAGTCATTCAACCCTTTTGGTCATGCATAGGTGAATACTTGTTAGCATAGAAATGGCGCCCTTCCTGACATCTAGTGTTGGACATTTTCATTTGTCTGCTTAGTTTATAATGAGGAGTTAATTTTAGTTACAAGTAGGTGTATAAGAGAAGACAACAGAATTATACTATCAATAACCATAACCACAAATTTTATCCTTTTACTGGAGGGGTGCACCAATTACCCTGATCAATACTGATATAGGATATGGGTGAATTGTAAATTTTGGTAGTTTAGCGGAAGCAAAAACAATGGAAAACAGAAAATAGAACGAACAAGGATAGGTCGGGAATCACTCCAGGGGTTTGGCTTCACACCAAGGAGTCTCCAATCTCTGGAAAATAAACTTTTGTTAATATCTCAACAACTGAATTTTAAAGAACTTCATGGGGGGTATTTATAGCAAACTAAAACCTAGAGACAATAGGATAAAAATCCCTTACTAAAAAAGAAATCCTAATCCACCAAGGAACTAATTCAAGTAAACTAGGAAACTAAAATAAAATCCTACTAAAATCTGGAAACTAACATCCTAGTGAAATCTGGAAAACTAGAGAATCTAGGAAACTAACTAATGATGTCCGCATCAATTCCCCCTGGCTGAAAAGATGACTCCGGTGAGATAGTTGTAATAACACTCCAAAATGTCGGGATCAATGTGCGACGTCCTCCTTTGTAATCCGAACTTCCACTTGATTCTTCAAGCATAATGATATGTAGAGCTTTGGCTTTACCTACTTTGTCTTGCTCCTCTCTTGTTTCGTACAGATTGATTCATGAGCTTGGGTTGAAGTGGCTTCATCGTGATCTTCTTTCCTTTATGGATGAATAAACCTATATTTTCTTGACCCAAGATGGTAACATTGTGATCGTAGATGAAGAGAATATGACTCACATCCATTATCCACCACATCACACCAAACATGATCTTTGTTAGATGAAAACTGTATAGGAATGTGACACCGTTGGCTAATAGGGATAGAAGATATATTGGCAAACCATGCTACTCTGTATGGCACAGGATGCTTCTCGGGTGACAAACCAAGACGCGAAATAGTTAGCGTTGACACCACATTGATACAACTCCCATTATCTATGATACCTTCCAATCTTTATCTCCAGACTTATGTAAGTGGAAAATTGAAGTCCTAAGCCAATCCTCAGTTTCCTTCCTAGGTTGAGCCAAAGTACACCTTACTACTGCTAATGTTGGATGAGGGACTTCAAAATTGATTCCACAATCTTCATCAGGTTGTTGGGGTTCATAAATATCTTCCTCGAATTTGCCTTGATTGTCAGTTGGTTCGTTAATGCGTGCACGCAGATTTCTTGTTGCCTCCTTCATTGGGCATTGGACAGCAAAGTGTCAAAAACTTTGGCATCTGTAACATCTTTGCGTTCAACCACCACGTGTATCAACTAGCACTCCTTTTCCTTTGGCAGTGTTTACTAAATTAGTCGTAGATGTTGGAGTCTTAGAACTTGGAGTCACAGATGTGCCAACATGAAAATCAGATCTTTGAGAATCAGTTTGATGGACTACATTGGACGACTTTAAATACTTATCTAATTCTTGTACCATCTGAAAAACCCTCTCTAAAGTATTCACGTTATGAGGAGTTAATTCTCTTTGAAGCTCTGGACGAAGACCTGATCTAAACCGAGAAAGTCATCCTTTGATCTTCCCTTATGTCACATCGCAACATGAATTCCTCAAATTTTGGAATATATTCAGCCACTAACATGTTGTCTTGACGAAGAGTTTGCCACTCGTCCAACAAACATTGTTGATGTGATAATGTTACATATTTCTGCTCCAACCTTTCATTCATCTCAACCCAATGGATGATTGGTTCTTCACCAGCTCTCTCTAGTTGTGTTTCAACATTGGTCCAAAATAATCCAGCTTGACCCACCAATTTTATCTTAGCAAATCTCACCCTTTGAGCTTCAGATATATCATGCCACACAAAATAGCGATCCGTGATAGCTAACCAGTCGAGGAATGCTTTAGGATTTAGCTCACCATCAAAATTAGGAGCGTCAACTTTCACTGATCTCCTCACCTTTTCATCAGGGTCTTGCTCATGGCCACGGTGAAAATTTTGCCTTTCGTCGTCTCGATTATAATCCTATCGTTATGTCTCTCTGCGTCTCGGTCATTCATTCTATCACGATGTTGTCGATCACGATTCCTCTCTTCTCCATTCACACTTGCTTCGTCATGTTGATTAGCTGCCCCTATGTCTGCAACGATCAATGTCTCCAAATCATCCTTCAAAGTCTGTAAAACGACAATAAAAAAAGTTCCAATCTGGTGGCTGCTCTTTGATGACAGTGGTCAGTTCTGCCATCATCTGCTTTGTCATATTTTCCATCATCTGAGCAATCCATTCAAGGTCCATCACTGGCTGGTCTGTCTTACCAGTCTTTAGTTGGAGCCTTAACTCGACACACGACGTAAACAACAAGAAAACTAAGATTTTGAACCCGAGGAAAAACGAGAACCTGTCTCTGATGCTAAATTTGATGTACGATATGGCTCTGATGCCAAATTTGATGTAGGATATGGGTGAATTGTAAATTTAGGTAGTTTAGCAGAAGCGAAAACAATGGAAAACAGAAAATAGAACGAACAAGGATAGGTCTGAAATCACTCCAGGGGTTTGGCTTCACACCAAGGAGTCTCCTATCTCTGGAAAATAAACTTGTCTTAATATCTCAACAACTGAATTTTAAAGAACCACATGGGGGTATTTATGGCAAACTAAAACATAGAGACAATAGGATAAAAATCCCTTACTAAAACAGAAATCCTAATCTACCAAGGAACTAATTCAAATAATCTAGGAAACTTAAATAACATCCTACTAAAATCCTAGTGAAATCTGGAAAACTGGAGAATCTAGGAAACTAACTAATGATGTCCGCATCAAACAGAGTCTGTCTTGATGGCCAATAACTACATGTGCAGAATTTTGCCATTTTGTTAGTTGACAAATGACTTCTATCTTATGATTTGCTTTATGCAGGTAAGATACCAAGTTGGCTCGAAATTCAATCAATTACTTGATGAATATTATCAAGTACTTAGTAAATTTTGTTCAGGTTTGATGAAGACCTGGATACGGTTTTAAGTCAGACCAAATCATGATTGAATCGAGCCAATTTGGTGAGTTCATGATAGTGAAAACTACATGTCTCCTCTTTTGCAATAGTAGGATGAACACCTAATTATAGCATTTAGGTTATTAAATGGTTAAATCTTATGAAAAGTTTGTCTGACATGACACTTGATATGCACTCGTTATATCTTTTAGGACATAAACAATTTGTGCAATTCCTAATACTGAAACTTGAATTTGCAATTTTCTTATACAAGTTGCATGAAGCAATCATGCGTGAGGACTCCACGGAATTTGAAGAAGGTGTTATAATCGATGAATTTCGCAAGGGGTTTAAGCTTGGTGACAGGCTTTTGCGTCCATCGATGGTAAAGGTATCAGCTGGTCCAGGGCCTGCCAAGCCAGAGCAGCAAGTTCCTCCTTCTGAAGAACAGGATGCCAGTGAAACCACCCAGGAGGGCAGCACAGAAACAGAGTCAGCTTAAAGACCAGATACTCATTCTAGTTTCAGTTTTGTATCAGCAATAGTAAGTTCATTTGTAGTTCAATCAGTAGGCTAGTAAATTTTGTTGGGCGTGATTGTTTCTGGTAGCATATTACTGTTAATTTTATCTTTTTACCGGGAAAATGATACCGGTTTGATGGAATCATCATATTACTGTTAACACATTTGTTTGTGTGTTAGGATATGAGCACGTGCTGCCTTGAGTACTCATTTGGATGTGCTTGAATGTTTAGTGCTTTAGTGCACTCAAAATATCAATTGGAATTTTTATTTGTTGGTGGTTGTGGAGGAACTAAACCTGATGTACGAACTCAGAGGGTATTTAGTTGTAGAAAAATGCCCGACATGGACCAGCTAGTAGAGGTGGAAAACAAGAAGGTTAGGTAGGTTGTGGTTGAGGAACGAGAGATTGCGATAGAAGAAGAAGAAACAGGAAAAGTAGAGAATTGGGAAACAAATAAAGAAGCAGGAATTTTGAGATGAAATCAAGGGGCTTTGATGAGATTCATTTGCTGTAACAATTGGAGTTGATTGAGAACAAAGATTCTCACAAATCTGATTTTCCATTTAAAAGGACACAATGAGTGTATTTTATACTTTAGCTGACACATCAGCTTAACAAACTACAATGAGTGTATTTTATAATTTCTTTAATAGCATTAGAAGACTGATTTTGATATTTGACTTTAAACAACTTTAATAACTTCCTTTAATAGCATTAACATTGACTTTCATCTTTGACTGCAAAGTGCTATGAAATTTTATAAAATAATTTTATTTGATTTTGTTTTTCAACATCTAAACCATCCATTTTTTAAGTCTTAATTCATAGTTTGTTTTTACAAAAAATTAGACAAATTAAAAACCAGTAATACATCTAGTTGTGATCAACAAAATAGATGAATACAATGCTTTAAGAAAGCACTAAAATGACAACAATTAATGGAGTGATCAAATGATTTTGAATTTAAGTGATATTTTGCAAAGATAATCCTTGAAGAATACCTATAAACAATTCGAATACTTGAAATACATTGGATAGTCGGCTCACAAAGTGTCCCTGATATAGAGAGAGATCGCTCAACATGTTTTTTTTAAAGAAGTATATAAACATTTTATCACAATACCACAAAAGGAGTATACAATTAACTAGTGGATCTCCGAAGAGATTTTTGTTTGAATCAATTAAATGAGGAGTTTGGATTTGTACAATAAACTTTTTTATTTTTTATTTATTTAACCCAAAAAAAGAAAAAAAAAGAAAAGAAGAAGAAGTGACTGAATCTAGACATGGTAATATTTTCAGGGCCATCCCATGCAATGCCAACCACTAACTCTTTCTTCTTTTTTTGGTCAGAACAATGCCAACCAGCTAGGAAATAGAGAGCTGCTTTTTCTGTTCCATATACTTTTTCATACTCCTTTTGTATTTCTAAGGACAAAAGTGAACCCAGGGTAGCTGAGTAGCTGACAGTTATTACTTTACTTACCAGTCAACCTACTCTCCGATGATTTGGTTGCATTCCCTCCACACTCTCTACTCTCCGATGATTTGGTTGCATCTCCTCCACACTCTCTACTCTCTCTCTCTCTCTCACTCTGCCCAAGCGAGCAGTAACTCCCAATTATTGTAACGGAAAAAGAAAAAAAAAACCAACATAATTTGGATGAAATTGTGAAAAACCAATGACACGGGTGAAATTGGTGAATAAATTCAATATGATAGTTAAAATGACTGAAAAATTAATTGAAGGTGGAGATTTTGACAAGCTGATGGTTCAAGGGTATTCGCCAGTTTACCCTTTCTAAAAGGAAAAGAGTGAACGAAGGGTAGCTGATGGTTACCAGTCAACCTACTCTGATGATTTGGTTGCATCTCCTCCACTCCCTACTCTCTCTCTCTCTCTCTCTCTCTCTCTCTCTCTCTCTCCCCTCGCGAGACATATAACATCCCACATAAATGGGT